TGTCTAAAATAGAGTTAAATTTGTAAACTAATATTTTTTTTGAAAGTTTTACGGATAAAAATTCTCATCTTAGAGTCAGGATGTCTATAAAGTACCAATTCTAATTTATTTTTTTCTTAAACTTTTGTAGTATTTATGTTTTATTTGCAGCATTTATTTAGTTTCACTATTCTTGCTTCATTTTTCATACAACTTATGTGTCATTTTCCAAACAGCATTTTTTGTTAAGTAATGAAGTAAATGCCTTATAATTAAAGTCAGAAATAAAGTTAAATGTCTAGTAAACTACTCCAGTTCTGAATTTTACAAATTTTGTACTTAAGTTCTGTAATTTTTTAATTAGAGTTTCACAGATTAGTTTGACTATAACGAAACAGATTAGAATAAAGAGTAACAGAGTGGGAGAATGTAGTAGTAAGAAAAAATTATTGTAGAGCTAAGTTTTACTTGTTCTTTCATTCCGAATTACTGACTTTTAGTCATGGAAATATTGATACCTATATTTCTTTAATTAAACTTAATTGTTAAAGAAACAGTAACTTATCAGTCAACAAATAAAGTTACCATAAACATGGAAACTTAGTGGAAGAGTAACAGCAACTTAACAGTCAACAAATAAAGTTAACAAGTACATGGGAACTTAGTGGATGAGTAACAGGGAGGAAAAAGAAGCTGCAAGTCATTTTACTTCGACATGTTTAATTGAAAAGAAGATATTCAGATAAAACTGAAATAAGAAATTTTATTTTATAATAAAAAATCTTATAAACAATGGATTTAAAACAATTATGCTAGTAACAGAAGGGAAAGTTAAAAAAACCATTTTTAGCTTGTTAAAGCTTTGTTTTCTTAGAATAGAGTAAATTACAATGTCAATTTTTAAAAGTAGAAAATCCAGGGAATCATGGAATTCATTTTCCCTCCCCAACTCAACAGAAATAATTTAATTCAATAATTATGAAAATAGTGCGGAAAAATTCCTGGAAGAGCATTAAAATGTTTGAATTTTTTCTCAAAAGTAATTTTAAAACTGCTTATTAGATAAACTGAGCTGTATATAAAAATGTAACTCAATTTTAATATCTAGATAAATTAAAATTATTTTAATTAATAGTTAGTTTTATTACAGTAAAATGAAAGGCAAAGAAGGCTGGGACATAACAATTTAGCCGATACAGACATAGTTTTTCAAATACTAATTTCTAATAATATGCATTGACTGAAAAATACAGTAAAGTAATTTTAAAGCTTAAAAATATTATTTTGAATTTTATTTCCGTAATTAAAATTACTTAAGCCGGTGGGACATCAAAAGTGCAAGTGACCCGTATATGTTATCCGTATTACACAAATAAAAGTTTTCTTATTAATATATATGAAAATATTTTCTGTATTTCTTTTACATTCATTAAATACTTTTTAAAAACATTTTCAATTTTTAAACAAATATATTCGTATTTAAAATAAAAAATAGCAAGCATGAATTTTTTTCCTATTCCCTTTTTTTCAATAAAGAATTGAGGATAATTTATTATGTATCCCTAATTCAAATGTGCATAATGATTTTACTGTTTTTACAATTAATCTCTAAATCAAGACATTAACCTTTTGAAATAAAAAAATACCAATAGAGATTACAGTATATATTTTAAAATTTTTATGGGAAGAATTTTTTGTTTAAAAGCATACAAAAAATAACGAACAATCGATGTAATTTTTTTATCTACAGCGCCGTATATCTTCATCAAAACTGAGAATACTTGTTCTAAGATTTCCTGTTTGGCGAAGAAAAATGTTGAAAACTACGCCAATCTGAGAATTCTTTGATTGAAGACAAATGCAAATTTCAACCCATTGTTCTTCATCTGATAGAATGAATAGCTTCATTTCGTGCTGCGTTTTCCGCATAAAAATGCTATTTTGGAAAATGAGATAGGCTAAGTTTTCTCGCTCTGTAATCAACTTTTGAAAACGCAAGCTCACGGTTTCCCAAGTTTCCCACTTCAATTTTTATTCAAATGACTTCCAATATGTTTACGCAATTTTTCATTGAATAAATCTATTTCAATTCTTAATCTCAAAAAAATGAAATGCACAGTTACACAAAATAAATAAAGTACCGAAAGAATATTCTGTATCATATCTTTTAAGATAAATTATTGAGGAAACTTATATGAATAATATTTTAAATTTGTTCCAAATAAAAATAAATCCCTTAAATTTTTAGATTTATATTCCTCGTCTTTGTTTAAGATTTCAATATTATTTTAAATCGGTTTCTTTTAATTTTTATTCAATATCTTAGTGCAAATATTTTAAGGAAAGGATTTTTCCAGTCAGATTTTTGGAGGTTTAGCCAATCGAGCCGTAGTTTAACTAGCAGTTACATCATGAAGAAGCCAGACACAATTGGTCTACCCCTTCTTTTATATAGGGACTTTGAAAGGGAATGGGTTGCAATATCTTCCCTAACCTTTTCGAACGACCTCTAAAAGGGAAAATTTAACTGTCTCGATTCGTTTTAACAGTCATTAAGACATAAGGCATTTTTGCGATTTTCTCCATGAGTATATTTCCGAGAATAATTAGCCATTAACTTCAGAAAATAATCTTTAAATTGAAATATTGACTTTTTATGACTTGTTTTGAAATGTTCCTTTCTTCGTCCTAAAATTAATAAGTGAAATCTTAAGCTATGAATAATACAGAAAAACTCGTATGAGACATTCACAGATCTCATATCACTCATTTGGTGAAACAATGATGTAACTGCAAAATCGTCACGTAATTGCTGTTACGTCATTGTTTCACTAAATGAGCGATGTATAGAATACTCGATTCCGGCTGAAATATCGAAAGAGATGTTAAAAAAATAATAAAAAATTAAATAAATAAATAAATAAAATATTAATCCGAATTTATCCTTTTTTGCCATTGGTTGCTGTTTTTCAAATGAAAAATAATATTTTTTATATCGCTCATTTGGTGAAACAATGACGTAGCTTGATTTTGCAATTACGTCATTGTTTCACCAAATGAGTGATTAGTACTCTCTTTAAAGTTAAAAAATGACTGAAAGTTCAGAATTTAAGCGTATTTTTAAATTAAAAAATGTTAATTTAATTTTTTACTATGCATTCAAGTCATGCGCATACTGCAGGGTAATGGAATACTTGTGAAATTTAGCATATTTACATAGCATTCCGCATGTTTATTATTCTACTCTGCGCAGTAACAGCACAAACTCGTCATCTACAGTGAATGCACAAAACATAAACGTGTGCAATGCAATGTGAAAAATCTAAGTATTTTGTGTTAAACAAAGTTAATGTAATGAAAGAAATCAACTCGCGTTTGCTCAATCGTTGTTCAAAAGTTAGGAATTACTATGAAATAGATTTAAACGATTATTTTACAATATTAATTCAATTTTTTCTCGAATTTATTATTTCTAGTTATTTTTTCTCGAGTACTCAAAAATTATTTAAAATTGAGAAATTTTTTTAAAATTTAGTTTTTAATGCTTAGTTACACAGAATACTAAATATTACTGCTTCGCTCATATTATTGTAATCTGCGTATTGATTCATATTATATTAATCTAATGTACTTATCTTTTTTCAAATACTTAAAAATTGTAAATAAATTCAGAAATTTTTTTAATTTATTTTTAATATTTAGTAATACTAATATAATAACTAAATATCATGATTTTGCACATAATATAATAGTCTAAAAACTCAACACTAATTAAATTACTAAAAATTCAATCGTTTAATTATTTTTTAACCATTTTACTTTATTTATATTGTTCTTTAATAGCATGTGTATATTTTAAATTAATTAAACAATTGTTTTACTTTCTATTAATTTTAAATTTTCTTAATATTTTGGGTCACATAAAGTAGTTTTTTCAAATTTTTTTCTCTAAAAGCTGAAGTAGTGGGCGATAAAAAATAAACATATCCTTTATTCTTCAGCAGCTACTACTAGTAATACCTAGTTAGAGGTCTCAAGGGTAATTATCATTATAATATGCATTGTTGATATATTTCGTATCTAGGCGACCCTTTAGCTATTATAGCAGGGGAGTTAAGGACTATTTTGTTCAACTAAGTAATAAAAATATTTTCTTATTAAGAAATAATTGCATCAGTATTTAAGAGCAGGTCAAATGATATTGTATATTGATTTTTTTCTTAGAACTGAAATGCACTAATCACCACAGTAAGATATGTTTTACGCATTACAGTAGAATGCATATTTGAGTGACAGATGAATTTCTGGATTTTTCTATTCAAGGTTTAACCATTCGGCTCATAATTTTTATTAAATTTGTTTTTCATACTTTTTTCATTATTTTGTATTATTTTAAGACAAAATAAGTGAAAAATATTATATTTAGCATTTTAATAATGTATGGTTATGAAATACAGTTTTAAACACTGATCTCTTTTTCTACGTTAAGGGTAAAATCTTATGAACTAAGCTCACTTCCAAATGAAAATTTTTCAAATTTGCATTTATTTGAAAATATCCAAGAGAAACAGTTATTCCTCTTTCTATATTAAACTATTCAACTAAGTAAATTATAATTCAAATATCGAAAAGAATAATAATTACAATTTATTTAGATACAATTGAGCTTAAATTAAGTTGAAAATTGTATGATACTTACAATAACAAACGATAGTTCATAAGTTATTTATTTATTTGCTTTTATCTAAGGAAGATGAAGTGAATCTTGTCCAAAATTTCCGAGACTTTTATATTATATTTTTTATCTCCACAGATCTTTTGAACTATGAAATAGAAGAATAAAATATTTCTTTTTGCATTAAAACATAAAAATATATTATTAATTCAAAATTTTGAAAAAGGCAATTGTTAAAATTTATTTCATAATCATCTTGCTTAGATTAAGTTAATAATATTATACCTACAACAACAAACGAAAGTAAATAAATTATTTAACTTTTTTTTTTGCTTTTCTGATACAGAAGGATATCTAACGAAGCTGAAAGGGGATCCGCCCGAAATCTCGAGACCTTATCACTTATTTTTCATCTTCGCTGATCATTTAAACAACAAAATAGTAGAATACGTCTAGAGAAGTAAGTAAAATATTTATTTATACTTTATTTATCACAGACTAAATTCAGGCCTCTTTTGGGTAAGTCTTCAGAATTTAAATTTATATTTAAGACAAATACTATAAAATACATGTAAAAGTAAGTACCCTTCCCATGTGTTTTGATTATGTTCTGTTATTCATTGCTTGTATTATCGTTTAGAATATATGTTTCCCAGCTTTTAACTGAACAAATGGCTGTTAAGAAATGGACGAATTTCAAATCAGTGATTTTCGTTCACCTCTGTTTAAGTTCTCTTAACAGTTAGAAAATACTTCAAAACTATCTTTTACTAAGAAATAATAGAAATCTTCCTCTTTTAATGATGAAATTGATGGTTTTTAAGATATATGTTACTCTTTCTGCTTTTTTTTTATGGATTTTTGTTAAATTTTAATATAAAAGATTTCAAATATATGGCGAATCGATTCAAAAAGTTTAGCAAACTTTTATTCTATATTAAATTTCAAGTCTTAAGCGAATGATTATTCAAAAATGTGTTTCAAATAAGCCTTCGTCTGACATATAAAATGTTTTATCAAAAAAATTTTTATTCGAATTGCGGGTCAAGCATATGTCAATGAAAAAGTCAAATAAGAGGTGTTTTTGAATAAGTATCACTTGACCTATGTTCTCTGGCAAAATTACTTGAATAACTATTGTTGAGTTGAAAAAATATTCATCCTGAACATTTCAGCTGCATTATTATTTTATATTAATCAAAATAATTTTAAAGCTGAGTTAATAAATTGTTCCTATGGGTCACGCTTATACAAGGCAAGGAATTTTCGTATAATTTGGAGAGTGTGCCGTTAATTTATAGGGCAAGTTACCTTCTTAGAGTTAAAAGTTTGCAATTGTAACGAGCTGCAAAAAAATTTGCATAGTTAAAAGTTAATTTAGAACATTATATAAAGCTTCCTTAGTCAGTTTGGGAGTGCACATCTATTTCGATAACAGCCTAAGGCAAAGAGTACAAACGTTCCAGGTTCAAACCCAGGCAATGCCGAAGAGAATATCTCTCATTATCTCTCTACATTGGTGAAAATGTAACTTTCTCACTCCGTGAGAGATGACAGCGCAACACCATTTTGCTTCGTTTCAAGGTTCACCTTAATACAACAAACGCTATGGTAAGCTTTTACAAACATAATGTGAAACTGCGGTCAATAAAAGTTTTAAAAAAAATATACGCATAGACCTAAATCTTACGGCCAATGAATGGAACAATTTTTGATGGTCATTGACCATAATCTAGCAATGAACTTTTTTAGACTATACCAATGTTTTTTTTATTGTCCATAATAAACTTCTTTACGTTACGTTTTTAAATATTTTAGATATTTATTCAACATTAATTTTGTATTATGCGATAGAGTTTATTACCTATTCATTTCATGTAAATATATATATTGCTTATCTCACATTGATTTAATAGAAATTAACGATAAAAATACATATAATTTTAAAATTGTTCATTAAATTTAATAAAACAAAATACGATATAAATTTTGATTAAAAATGATTTAAAAAATATGTATTCACTATTAAATGATGTTAAAATATTTTTGATATTTAATATTATATCGATTTTCATTAAACTCGTTTCTATTTGTTTCAAATAAGAATTATGGAAAATATTTGCTAAGTGATAATATTATCATAATGAGAAGATGAGTTTTAGACTGTATGGAAAAATCAAGAACCTTTTAACAAAACAAATTTATTCGTTGAAAACCACTTAACTGAAATGAATAGTAAAACGACCTAATGTTTTATTGTTGAACGAGTTTTTAAACATAAACTTGACAATAATTGCAGAGCAAGTAAGGAAACCAAAGATTGAAAGAAAAATTGACAAAGACAAAGAAAAATGTCAAAAGACAACAATGTAAAGCTTAGTCCTTATCGGAAATTAAGAGAAACGTTTGACAAGTATAGAATACCTCTTGAGGAACTATCGAAAATAGTTTGGGTTATGTCAATATATCGATACGTTATTGATTTTTAATGTCATTTCCTTTACTAACTTGTTTGTACATAACTTGTCAGGAAATTTTATATTTTTCAATATTATTTCTATAATATCAAAATTTACAGACATTTTTAATTCTAGAAAAATTATTTTTCTCCTTACGATGCCCCAGAAGATTGAACCGAGAAAATTTTATAATAGATATATATATATATTCAGTTTTAAGAAAAAATGGAATTTATTAAAAAAAACTTAAATTATAGCGATTATACTCCAAATTGTTAAAAAATGTGTTATAACTCATCATCAGTGAACAACAACACATACTTTTTGAATAAAGATGTGTTGGGTTTTAGCAATGTGGCAAACAGTAAAAGCTGTAGACTCATGTTGCTATTGGCTGGAAAATGAATATTATATACATGTATATATAGGATCTTACAGTTTGTTTTTTATTTCGAAATACCTCTGTCGAAAAGGAATGCATCCCGAAGAGAACCTTTCCATTTATTTCTTCAAGTTTTTATTGCATTTCAAACGTTTCTCTCTTTAAATAAAACCTTTTTTTAAAATATAGCAAATTATTTGAAAAAAAATTTATGAGCATATATTTTATCTATATTAAACGTTTGAAAATAAAGTGCATTAAATTATTATTGTAGTTGTTATTATATTTTAATGAAATCTTATAAACGAAAATCTTATGTACTTTTTTCATTCTTATCTCAAACTTTTACAATTAATATGCAAAATAAAAAAACACTAAACAACATGAAGCTAAATTCTTTCACCTCTTTTAGAAAACAAATAGAGTTAAAACTATAAATTAAGAAAAAATTCCTCCCCAAAATACGTTGAACGGCGTTTTATCAAAAAATACTTTTAAGTCTATAAAAATAAAATTAATGTGAGTATTAATTTCAATTTGTAACTTCATTTATTCTCTAAGATCTTTTAATCCATTTATGGCTTACACATTCCTATTAAACTGTTCATGAGTTAATTAATAATATCTCCTAACATAAGCTTCAATTACCTTTTTAAAATATTCCTATTCCGAAATTCAAACACTATTTCCTATGACGCTTTTAATCTGACAACAGATCTTAACAATGTTTTCAGGAATGATAGTTGAGAAAGGAAAAAGATCTCTTAAAGACTCTTTTGTACTTCATATTAAGAATAGATTGGGAAACCGGGATCAATTTCCCGGAAAGTTATCTCATAGAATTCAGGATCCCATCAGGATCTGTGATGCTTCGATGATGTTGAACGGGAGTTCCTTTTTCAAATATTTTTTTTATGATTATTTGAAAAGTTTTTCGCTCCTTTTCTTCCGTTGAAATTTTCCCATTGCGTAATTCTTTTTTAATAAATCATTTCCTTTTGGACTTTTCATTACCATTTTATGATTATTCCCAGATTTTTCTATTCATAGAAAGATTGCTATAGAAATTCAAGCTTAGAAGTAGAGAATAAAAGGCGAAAAAAACGAAACATCCTGAATAATTTTTCATGTAATGATTGGATTTTTACTTGCAAGGATCAAACTTAATGGTTAAATCAAATATGCTAATTATTTGTGCTATATAGTGTTATTATAATTTGCCAAATATACTAGTAATTTAAGTTTGTTTTATTTAATACTGCATAATGTGCTTTGACGTCACATTCTGTGATGTCACATCCCCCCCCTAGAAAGATTGCTATAGAAATTCAAGCTTAGAAGTAGAGAATAAAAGGCAAAAAAAACGAAACATCCTGAATAATTTTTCATGTAATTATTGGATTTTTACTTGCAAGGATCAAACTTAATGGTTAAATCAAATATGCTAATTATTTGTGCTATATAGTGTTATTATGATTTGTCAAATATGCTAGTAATTTAAGTTTGTTTTATTTAATGCTGCATTATGCGCTTTGACATCACATTCTGTGACGTCACATTCCCCCCCCCCCTAGGAAAGATTGCTATAGAAATTCAAGCTTAGAAGTCGAAAATGAAAGGAGAAAGAAAACGAAGCATCCTAAATAATTTTTCATCTAATGATTGGATTTTTACTTACTAGGATCAAACTTAATGGTTAAATCAAATATGCTAATCATTTGTGATATATAGTGTTATTATAATTTGTCAAATATGCTAGTAATTCAAGTTACGAAATCAGACACAAAAACGTGTTTTTTCTGAATAAACATACTTTTTTTTCTCATCTGATTATGATTTATAACCCCCAGAATATAGAGGTAGCGTCAGTCTGGGAAATGCTCCAGTAGTTTGAAGACGAAAGCGTTTCTAAGTTCCTTCTTAATGTTAACTTTACTTTTAGCGTATTTCGCTATTATCTCGATAATTTTTAATACGAATTGATAAAAAAAGGACATAATTATAAAATTTATTTTTCCAAGGAAAATTACATGCAAAAAAACTATATTGTACTATTTATTTGATATTTTTTTAGTATTTTATACAAAAAAATTGAATGGGAGGATGTACAAACTTTAATTTTAAAGAATGTAGCTTTCTGTAGCAAATTTTAAATTTGAATGCAATTGGTTAGCAAGAAATCAAATTTTAAATATTTAGCTTTCTTAAAATACTATTTCTCAGGAAATAGTTGATAGATTTTACTTGATCGATATATTGCTACATAAAAATATGTTGCCATTTTTACATTCTATAAAATAATGTCAAAATTTGTATCATTTACTTTGAGATTTAATGGCATAATTTTATGTAAGACAGACAATTGAAAATATGCCAATAAAGTTTGATTAGAGAATTGCACTATTTGAGAAATTTCGATCTAATGAGAATGATATGAATTCTGCTCCGGTCTCGCAACGATGACAATAATGACGTAAAATATCCTCAGTGATAGGCGGATAAGTTGTTAGAGTTCCCTTAGCCGTCGGGCTAACTGTAGAAGATTTCTGAGATTTTCCCATCCATGCAACACGAATACGGGTTAGTTCTATTAATAAAGTCCTCCTCGAAGGCTATCCC